TAAGGCAGTTCTCAATATTAAAAAGAACAAGTGCGTTCTCTCTTTTTCTGCCTGTCTGTTTTTAGTTTTTTTATGTGCACTGCCAACCTCTATCCCAAATGTCAACATAAATGCTTGCCAACACTTGTAAATCTTGTCTTCCCTTCTCTTGACCTATCCTCTCATTTTCTTTTTACCTATCCCCAAGCTCTTGTATATTTTATCTGTCTTATTAGGTCATGTTAATCTATTTACTAATGAAATTAAAAGAAGATGTGGAATATATGCACATAATACATGTGTGTGTGTTACTACCTATAACATATTAAACACTCTGCTAGTCTAGGCTACAAGATAAATAAAGCAATCCTTGTGTTCAAACAGATCACAGTTTGGAAAAGAAACACACACACACACACACGCACACACACACACACACACACACACACACACTCACACTCACACTCACACACACTTTTCCAGGAAATATAAACCATGCTACATCACAGTCAACAAGGTCTTGTACTAAATTTCTTTTAGCACAAGAGGTAGGATAGCAGGATCAGTAAATTTTAAATTGAGGACAGTCACCCTGCCAAATTTCAAATTAAACTTCCTGTGCAAAAACATAAATAGCACAGATGACCAAATGTTAGCACAGCTTCAAATGAGAGCATCAAGGCAGAACGAACTTCCAGGCAGGTAGAGGAAGGCATCGAATGAAGCATATTGATAGTTAGAAAACTCAAGCATAGCTCTGGCAGTGCCATGTCATAACAGCTAATTTTTATTGAGTGCTACCTTTCACCTAGCTTTTAAGGGATTACATATATTCAGTCAGTTAATGGGACGGCATATTACTTAATGTTACTTGCTGTGGATATTGCTCTGTATAAATAAAATGTTGATTGGCCAGTAGCCAGGTAGGAAGTATAGGCGGGACAAACAGAGAAGAGAATTCTGGGAACAGGAAGGCTGAGTCAGGAGACGCTGCCAGCTGTGCCCATGAGTAGCAACATGTAAGATACTGGTAAGCCACGAGCCATGTGGCAAGGTATAGATTTATAGAAATGGGTTAATTTAAAATGTAAGAACTAGATAGCTAGAAGCCTGAGTCATTAGGCCAAATAGTTTAAATAATATAAGAGTCTGTGTGTTTATTTTATAAGTGGGCTGCAGGACTGCCTGGGCTTGGCAGAAGGTGGAGAGAAACTGCAGCTACAGTTATGAAAAAAGAAAAAATAAACCTTTAGAAATCTGGTAAAGGGGTAGTAAACATGTTAATGCAGGATCGTTTCCACTGGGTATGTTACTCTCAGG